GTTGGGTTTGGACCCCAAGCTACTGGCGAAGATCCTGAACATGTCTTCAGGTCGATGCTGGTCCAGCGACACCTACAACCCAGTTCCCGGGGTGATGGAAGGCGTTCCTTCTGCCAACAACTACCAGGGTGGCTTCGTAACCACGCTGATGGCCAAGGTACCAAACCTGCTCCAATCGCAGCTGCTGAACGTTGGCTTTCATTTTCTACTTGATGTTTTAATGAAGCTGAAGCTCTGGTAGACACATGAACATGTGACTGATGCTTTTTTCTAATCTACTAATCTGATCCAGGATTACATCCGTGTCTGCTCAGGTTAGCTCAGTCGGCAGTGTCACTGTTGTTTTTGTCCAAACATGATTTCAGCAAAAATCAACAATAATCAGAGAAAATGATAAAACTCAGTAATAATGAGTTTTGTTGATGAAATCGAGCTCCCAGGCTGAGGTTGGACCCCCGCACCTGTCGGAATCACACGGATTCTGGTTCTGGGTTTTCGGCCCAGTTCAGGTCCTTTTCTGTATCTGTAGAACATTTTTAATGTAGAAAATGTCGCCCGCTCAATCAAGTCCCACTATAAATCAGACACATTACACTGATTTTTAAATGCGGAACATGGAAGCTTTTTGTTTTAAAATGAAAAAATTAATTTGTGTTTCTGTAATGTTTTAAATTGTGCCCAGTTAATTTAAACATTGTGTTAAATGGTTGATTTTGGGTTTGGATTCAGATGAATTATTCTAGAGGAAAGAAAGGAGAAACAAGAAAACGATCTCGCCTCTCAAGATAAAAAATCACGAGGCGCTTCACAAAAAGAAAAAATTTTAATTATTAAAAAGATTTAAAAAAAACAATTAAAAACATGTTTAAAGTGAGAAAAAAGTAAAAAATTATGGTTAAAAAAAGACTAAACAGATGGATATAACGATGTTATTCCACCTGCTTCTCTTTTCATGTGTGAAGGATCTCGGTCTGGCACAAAACACCGCCACCAGCACGAAGACCCCCATCCCTCTGGGCTCCCTGGCCCACCAGATCTAGAGTCATGGGCTCGCGCGGCTACGCTAACAAGGACTTCTCATCCGTCTTCCAGTTCCTGCGTGAGGAGGAGGGACAGTGAAAGGATGGGGGAGGATGGTGGGACAGGACCGCTGTCATAGACGTTCACACAAACCTCAGAACCACCCCTGTGTCCCTTAACCCAGAATGCTCAGGAGAGACTCACGGCCTTGTTCCAGGAGCTGACGTCTAATTATCGTACTGGGTTCTGACACACGCGTCCTTGTTGCATTAGATATATATTTTTATAATTCTCGTCACGGTGCTCTCTACATGGAGAAAATGCCAAAACGGACCTATAATTAATATTTATGACAGGAAAAGTCGACTTTTCTCTGTTGTGTTTAGAACGGCCAGTTAACGAGGTGGAGCGAGGCTCTGCAGGTTTACACGTAACTATGCAAACTTCTATAATGTTGTTCAGGGGCATTTGAGGAAAGGCTCCAGGTAAAAGGTGCAGGTGTTGGACAGATGTATAACAGCGGAGGTTATGATGTGTGCTCAAATGTGAGTAAACGGGTTTCCTGGTCTCTCTTCTCATTTAAAGAGACGGTTTGACCCAACTCTGCTTCAGAAAACCCGGAGTGTCCCTTTAATAAGTCATAATCCTCTAGCCCGTGTTGTATGCTCCAACATGCTGTGAAATAAATCCAGGTATTTTTCTATGTGTTACGTCTTTTGTTGCTGTTACAGCACCTTTGGACTTGGCTGCTTATTGAGCCGTCCTGTTTCTGCTCCTCAGTCTCTTCTCTTGTCTCTAACACCTAAAGTATCAGTGAGGAGTGAGAAAACACACCGTTTATATGCTGAAGAGTGATGGGAAATAAAAGGACTTTTTTCTATTAAAACTCATTCGTAATGTGTGCAGCCATTCTTTGTTCTGAGACTAAATCTCAGTCACAGTTTCGAGGACGTTCTAGGAGTAAGCTCTTCTCTGAATAATACCTACAGCAGTAACTTCTACACAACAGGGTCTAGGGAGAATAAGGGCCTCATGGCTGCCATCTTGAATGGGGCTGACTGAGTCTGGTGTGGACATGATTTACTCCTAACCCATTCAGAGCTTTAGAAGATCATTTGTTAATGATACACTTCACAGACAGGCAAAAACATTATCAGACTCACATGGGCTGGGTTCCTGTGGAAAATCCAGCTTCCAACAGAAAATCATCAGCTGTGATCAGTATGTAAGAGGAAGAGAAAAACCTAATTATGACTAGTTTGAGGAAATATAAATGCACATTTGTATAAATTCAATGGGGACATTCGCCCGGCAAGCCTTCCTTTATATGAATGGCCGTGTTCGAGATGAGCCAGTTCTGTGCAGATTCGATCACCGGCGATCGGCGCGTGGTGCATGCCGGTTAGATTTGTGTCCGACTTGACGCCGACTTGCTCTGACGTCATGCCTACGTAGGCAACGATAACCTCGTGAGATCAAGGCGGCCGCAGATTTTGGAGCAAGGCGCTGCAGTTGCTCTCCCTCGGCTGCAAAACCTAGGGGATGACGGGAAACGCCTGGCTCTCACCTGATCTAAGATCTGATTGGTTCATATTTTGATCCAAACATCCGGTGGTAGAACATGAAATGTTAGTTGGTCACATGTATTCTTTAAATCATGTAACGTTGATGACGACTATACAGGCCATAAAGAGGAATGTGTTTTGTGTTCTTTTGTCACGTTTCCTATGAACACACTAAAGCTACAGCTGATAACCCTTACTTATTAATAATAATTATTACAGTCATGTCTTCATATACAATATATGATATCCAGAGGCATGTGAGAATGTGTTTTGGTTGCTAACAGGCACCAGAATTACAACTGAAAATTAAACAAGTTTGAACTCTAACGCGATATCTTCATCCATCGTCACCCGTGAGCTACACATGTAGGGAAATCTGTCCGACTTAAACGCCGGCTTTCAGCCACTCCCCCTGCTGCTTCCGTCTGCTCTCGTCTGCTTTCCAGGCGAGGCGCAGCTCAACTCGAACACGGCCGTTCTCTGGCCACAAGCCATTGAAGGAGTTGTGTGGTAAAATCCATGGCTGTCTTTCAAACTGCCTGCACACAACTGGACAGCATTACGACCAATCAGAGCAATGAACAGCATGATGTGTTCATATAAATCAGTCACTGGTGCAGTCTGCCATACACTGTCAAAAAGGAAGAAAGCTCTCTACTTGGTTCCATGTTTAGCATGATTCTGGGCCATTGTGGTGCAGCTCTAGGTTACAGCCCATGAAGCTGCTGCACCAAACCCCTCCTGCAGCACAGCGCTCATATAAAAGCCTAATGCCAGCCGAGGAGCAATCGCAGCACTAATCTCAGAATGATGCTCTTATTTCCATCATCACAGTCAGACAAGAGGAAAACAACAAGAGGTTTTATTTTAAAGGCTAGGGTTTGGGCTTTTATGGAGCTGCTGGTGTCTAAGTGGCCGGGGCAGTTACAGCAGACTGTGGCGAGTCGTCAGTTGCAGGAGTTGTGTTGTGGCCTCGTGACTCACTCTGTTATTGTTCTTTGGGAAATGATGCACTTGCCCCATCTGTGTGCTTTAAAGACGAAGCTTTTCTGATTCATAATCGAGCAGGAGAACCAGCTGAAGCCTCTGTGACCAGATATATCTTCCAATGCATTCATTTATCACAACTCGGGAAGGTTTTTGCATCTTTGTCTTTGCAGACAATAGCTGTTTGTCTGCCTGAAGCAGAGCTACGCCTCTGGCTCGGCTTTCTGAATTAGGCAGTGCAGTTGATTCATATTTGGGTGTTTTAATTTGCCTGTGTTTTATAGCAAGCTGTTGAGCTGGTGGTTTCCTCATTAAAGGATAGATGAAAGCATCCTGTAAAGGAGCGGTGGCGAGGCCGGCCCGCGCTGACGTCTGAACGGGATGCTAGCGACAGACCGAGTACCGAGCCAGCCGGTCTGAGCTGGAGGGCCTCACCCTTCCAGACTGGCAGCCAGCGGTGGGACACCAGTCACACCACAGTTAGTGTCGACACCAGATCACAACACCAGTCTCGTGTCAGGGAGAGTTCAATCCTCCTGTGGATCTGAGTAATAATGCTGCCATTCAGAAGTATGCAGACAGTTTCATCAAGATTCTCTTTAGAGTTTATTCTTTGCAGTGAAAGTGTCAGAAACAAGTGACCAATGACATCAAGGAGTAATTCACTATAGAAATGATACTTTCTTCTTCTTCTTCTTCTTCTTCTTCTGGAACCAGGGCCGTATTATCATTGCAGGGGCCCCTGGGCACAATGTGCTCAGCTGGCCTGTGCCCAGTTTGCCCATATCATAATCCGGCCTTGTCTGGAACATGTATATTTGAACTTGTGATTTTAGTGTAGCTGGCCTCGACTCATTTGCCTTGTCCAGTTATCGACCTATCTCCAGACTTCCTTATACTTCTAAAGTACTGGAGAAGGTAATTTACTCATAGTTGACTGAGTATTTGATGGGTAATGACATTTAGGTGAAAATCCAGTCTGGTTTCAAGCCAGTCCACAATACAGAACCGGCAATGTTTCGGGTTTTTAATGACATTTTATTGGACACTGCTTCCGGAGACTTTGTTATTTTAGTATTGTTGGACCCATCAGCTGCATTTGATACTGTGGATCATTCTATCTTGATTTCCATGATGAAACACTTTGTGGGTGTTCGCGGGGTCGTGCTGGATTGGTTTGTGTCGTACCTGGCTGACAGAACCTTCAGTGTCTCACTGGGGGATTTTACTTCCTCTAATGCCTCATTCTCTTTCGGGGTTCCCCAGGGTTCTGTTTTGGGCCCATTGTTGTTTTCTCTGTATTTGCTACCTCTTGGTTCGATTTTTAAGAAACATGGTTGTCATTTTCACTGCTATGCAGATGATACCCAGGTATACGTGCCTTTTAAGAGGGGCCACAATCAATCTTTGCGGTCTCTTTTAGATTGTCTCGTTGAGGTTAGGCAATGGATTTTCTCTAACTTCCTTCTTTTTAATAATTAAAAGACAGAGGTTATAGTTTTTGGTCCAAGTACTTCGTTTAGGGTGGGTGCAGTGGACCTCGGTCAGCCCACCCCAGTCTTGAAACTGAGTGTGACTTCCCTGGGTGTTGTACTGGATGGGGATCTTGTTTTGGATAGGCAGATCAGTGCGATGACTAAATCTAGTTTTTATCAATTAAGAAGGATTGCCTTGCTGTCAAAACAGGAAACAGTAATTCATGTTTTTATTACATCAAGGCTTGATTACTGTAATTCTTCGTACCTTGGTGTTTCACAATCCCACCTCTCGCATCTTCAGTTGGTGCAGAATGCTGCTGCACGGCTGCTCACTGGGACGAAAAAGATGGAGCATGTTACTCCTGTCCTGGCCTCACTGCACTGGCTGCCTGTTCGTTTTGGAATCCAGTACAAGGTGCTTTTATGGGATTTTAAATCTTTGCATAGCCTTGCTCCAGATTACCTCTCTGAGCTTCTGGCTTTTTACTCCCCTGCACAGTCTCTGAGGTTGGCTGATAGGATGCTCTTGGGAGTCCGAAAAACAAGACGTCAGCTCAGAGGTGACAGGGCTTTCTCTGTAGCAACCCGTAGGCTCTGGAATAAGCTGCCTTTGAGCATTAGGTCGGCCTCTTCATTGTCTGGTTTGAAATCCCTTTTGAAAACTTAATTTTATGATTTGGCTTTTAACTCAGCATAAGAGTCTTTTTAGTGTTAGTTCTAAAGCTTTAATTTAATGCATTTTTATGTTGTTTTTTTAATGTTTTAATTTCTGCAAAGCACTTTGGTCAGTTTTATACTGCTGTAAGGTGCTATACAAATAAAGCTGCCTTGCCTTGCCTTGCTTTGCCCTTCCTTCACTGATCAACGCGACCCATGTTTCACAACATGGCTGTTCTGATTTGGAGTTGGGACCATTTGGACCAGCCACCTGTAGCTCGTCTGGACCCGCTCCACAGCTGAAGAACTGCTCCAGCCTCTAAACTATCATACAGCAAAGGAAATATACTTTAATAAACCATTAAATATTGTTCCTACGGAAACATCAATGATGGACTTGACCCTTGATTATGATTCTGCTGATGGTGATAACTGTGTCTTTGTTCTGACTGGCTGTTAGCTCATCAGTCCTGAAGGATGTAAACTCTGTTTCGCTAAACAGAGGCTGTTCAGAGAGTTATCACAGAAACATTACATTTGCATTTATTTGTAAATTGAGTTTATTTCAAAAAGATTTTTATGAACACCTGAGAGTCGTTCCTGCATCTCCCACCTGCTCCCCGCCCTGCTGTGATAAACACCTGAGGCAGGAGCATTCATTATTCCACTGTTATAGGAGCTAGAGGATCCTTTCAATGACTTGGCCAAGGAAGTGACAGTGGGAAGTTCACAGGGGCCAGGAGGTGACGCAGGGCTCCTGAGAGCACCCTGTGATTCATATCAAACGCACGCTAAGTGGTGCACAGCTAAATTAGCGGCTGCAATCTAGCAGGTATTATTGCTCACGCAGCGTTGTGTGACGAGCTGCCGCCTCACTGGGCTGTAATGTGGCCTCCATAACAGTTACATGAACCCACCAATAATATTCAGCCCATTTAGCCGCCGAGTGCAGATCCACACCCACGGTGTCTGCACATTAACACACAACACCCACACGTCCTCTTCCTGTTTTGCAG